TGCTTACGTTTTAATAACGTAAATTACGGCGCCTGGTATGTTTACAAACCTTTGCTTGGTTCTTCTGTTGCTACATGCCGGCTCGCTTGTTCCGAAATTTCACTTTATCGAAAAAAAGCTAAAAAGAAGTCCCGCAAAAGGTCGAACAATATAATTTGGCAGATGGCATGACAGCTTTAGCTCAGCTCTATGCTCTATACTCTCATAGAGCACGCTCTTTCAACCAATGACAGCGCCCGTTACATCCGAACTTTATTATAAAAATTTAATTAAGAAATGTCAAGAGATTAGAAATATTGTAATTTCTTGAAAATTTTTGATTACAAAATTATTATATTCGTTGTTAAGGACACTAGCCAGAAGGCTCATTTTTATGTAATTGATTATTGATTAGTTTAATTATTCCAGAATAAGCTGGATACGAACATAGTTATAATGTTTCTCTGTTTGTTTATATTTCAGCGTCACCACGCGCATATATAAGCGAGTTTAGCGTCCCTGTAATCATTTCTTCGTAAGTTTTTGAGTAGTCGCGTAAACGGTCAACTTTGGCCTGTTATTCTTCAATCTCCATCTGTAAAATAGCCTCAAACACCTGTTAACCGCGTCTTGGAGCGACACCCTAACGAATCTTACGAATAAGATTTTTTGGTCGCCGCAAGTATTACATTCGGGTTGAAGTCTGCCTGATATTTTTCATCCAATAATTGCTTAGTGCGATCGTAAAACTTCTTGTCATATCGTTTCCCACTATTGTCGCGTTTTCGTGTTAATCACAATTGAGTTTTTCTATGTTTTATTAGTTACATCGTGTGCTACTTGTAATGTGTTAATATCGTTGAGTAATTTTCTTTAAATTATGTCGAGTTATTTTGCCATGTTTTGTTAAAAAATGAGTCCGCTGGATCCATGTTTATGTTTGCCTTTTAGAAGCCGCTTCGTCGTTACTTAATTGCCTGTCAAGTTATGCACCGCTAAAGTAAATATTTTTCTCTATCGAGATTTTGCTTGCCAGATTTTGTTCCCTTGCGTGTATTTTCCCAAGCCATAGTACCGTACGTATGTGAATATTTTAGACATGAAGATGAGCACAAATTCGCAGGACTTCGGTTATGTACATCTTGCCTGATAAATACAACAGTTCAGGACCTCCTTTACGTGAACTCAATGTTTCAGGCAATTAATGTTCACATAAATGAAAATGGAGCTTAAAATATACTACTAAGCCAAATTTAGAGTTCATACTGTTTATCGAGACATAAAAAAATTAGAGGGATTTTATGGAAGGAAAGTTCTTGGCCTCTTATTTTCGTTTAATTTGAACGCACATTTTGGCAAACAAAATTATGTAAGTTTTTCGTCTTGTCACGAGTATTGGTCGAAGAAAAAATTTAAAATTTTTGTGAGGAATCTAACGGGAACTTTCTGCTCTCTGGCACCGATGTTCCTCCATGAGCCAAAGATAACTCCGTAGTAAGTTAAGTAATTGCTAGATTTAGAAGAGGCACGTGATGCGTATTTGCTAGGATCACGCTCGAAACCAAAGTCAAAATTTATGACATACTAATACAAGCGTCAATACTTGAAAGAACGATCTATGGAAAATTTCAATGCACTAGATGACGAGCAATTCTCTCGTAGATACGAAAGTATCGAATTCTTAAGATTTTCCATGACAAGAAATTCTGGATCTTTGGACTGGGGTAATTAATTGAAAATATGAATTCTTTCTCAATAAATCATAACCGTTAACTTTCTTGAATTTTCCATTCTCCGGTGGTATGTTTATCAATTATTGGACAAGAGACCAATGAACAGTTTAAAAGTTCCTATTATTCATTTGCTTTTCCCAAATATTTTAATTCACTTATCATTCATTTCGTGGGTGTTTTGATTTCACGATCTCTTAAATTTTGAGTTATGATCCCTTTCTTATGCACAATAAGTCTCATTGGATCAAATTGTACTTTCCATTTCAAAATTAAGTCGTGTTGAGAAATTTATTTACAAAAACTCCATTGTGTTCTAGAAAACTGTTTCTGACAGAAAACTCTAGAAGAAGCTTAGAAGTAATTTACGGCCCTGGCTTTTTGTATGCGTGAGAGTTGGACTAAGACATCAAGTGTGAGCCCTCTAAGAGATTAAGAGAATTAACTTCATTTAAGAAACAGAAACTCAATATGGACATATTTCTACATAGATCACTGAGCTTACAAGAGATTTCAACGATGCCTAAAATCTCCTGAGGATTCTGGAACCACCGAGCCTTTTGTCTGCTCAATGGCTCATAGGGAACGTTTGTGTAAGTCTGGGAAAATATTGGCCTCAAACATCGAAAGTAAATGTCTTCTACGCATAAACCCAAATATAGAACTAACCATGGTTCCACTTGCCAAATTCATTATATATCATTTACGCTTTATCTTTAATCTTAATCTCAAAAGTCATTACCAGAGAAGATGGCGAAGACTAATTACCCGTAATAATTAAGCTTTCTCTGTCAACACTGATCATGACCACAGTGTCAAGTTGATGGACACAGCTCTTACAAATCAGAGGCTTGTTCCGTTACTTTTTTCCAGCTTTCA